GTGTGTGTGTGTGTGTGTGTGTGTGTGTGTGTGTGTGTGTGTGTGTTTGTATATATGTATGTGTGTGCGTGTGTGAGCATGTGTGTGCGTGTGTGTGTGTGTGTGTGTGTGTGTGTGTGTGTGTGTGTGTGTGTGTGTGTGTGTGTGTGTGTGTGTGTATTCTTGCTTGCATGCGTGTGTGCCTGGTCGTGTGCGTACGTGCCAACGTTTAGTGCGCTCACTCCGATACTATAGTACGTTTCCCCTGTCTTCTGCTGATCATAATCTTACGCACAATCACCGACGACTAACTAACGCGACAATGGAAGTTCTACTTCGTGCAATAACATACCTTTCAAAGCTATGTTTGTAGGCTGCGCATTGAACAGCGACATGTCATTCACACACTTAACATGTACCGGCGCACGAGAGAGATAATTATTTTGACCCGCTTGATATTGTAGTAAACCGGAATTCGATGACAGCGATGTCAACGATGACATAAAGCTAGATGCTTCGCTGGTAACGCAGTCGCCGTATATTGCAGGAGACGGTGAAGGCTGTCCCTGTGCTCAGCTCGTCTGCTTATGGGCACAGACACGATCGTCATCTGGAGATGCCAGGCAGGCAACACGTTCGCATTGAGAGGGTACTCAAAGGGTTCTATCGCACACGAGGCAACGACCTACTTGAGCATGCCGGCGATAAACTCTAAGACGGTCCGTTGTTCTTCAGTGAGCTCGGGCGAACGCCCTCTCTATTGTATTAGTGATGTAGTGTATGGTCTTACACGCAGCGTGATCCGGCGTGCTGTATGTTTGCTTGTGGATTCGTGTAATATCCATTCTCTGTAACGTCTTGAAATGTTAGAGAGATTTAACTTCTAGAGATATTAGAGATATTTCATGCGCATATGTTTGGTTGTGACTTTCTTGAGCCTTTCGTTTATGCTATAAAATATTTGATGGTATCCAGTGAAAACATCACAGCATTATTATTATTATATATATATAGATAGTTTATTATAGTTCAAACATCGTCATGGCATTCTAGTTGACTCGATATTATGAAAAATAATATTTTAAATTAACAAACAGTATGCGACCAAATTATTTTACATGACAAACCCAATACTCCCCCAAATTGAGATACTCTACAAGTACAGCTAGATATAGCCACGCCAGTTCTACAACCACGACTTTAACGAGTTGTCATACAACTCGTAATTTAACGAAGGGAAACATAATAATAGACGTCACCGTGCATCAAGCTTTAAATTAAGGACAGACACTGACAGGAACGGACACGGAGACTCAGACTGACAGCATGCGTTGCAAACTATTTACAAGCTCTTCATGTTGTAGCTTTACTTCCGTTACAATCATCGAAACAAAACACCTTATAGGTAAGATCGACAGTCCGGTGAGAATTCCCCTACTGGGACGAGTTCACCTAACTGGTCGGTTTTATCGGGCGAGCGCGGCCTACAGCCTTCCCTCAGGGTTGGCCACCCATGGGTAGCGCTGTGGGCAGGTGTTGGCGCACGTCTCGATGTAGCGGTCACCCTGGTGATCGATGCTGTTCGGTGCGTAGGTAATGTTGTAGTAAGAGCAGGTGATCGGCTGCGCGCACAGGGGCTCGCGGTTTGAGTTGTCGCACGAGAACTGGTTCGACCGAGTGATGTCGTTGAGGCGAGTCGGGTTCATGATCCACTGCAGGGCCTTGTCGATGGAGACGATGTAGACGTCGTTCATGCTGAGAAGTTCGTCAAGGAACTCCTCCATGGCCTCAATGTTGTAGTGAGCCTCGTAGAACCAGCGCGCGCGCAGGTGCAGAGGGAATGGAGCGCGGTTACCGTTGTAATGCCTGGCGAAGTTGCTTCTGAGCAGAGTGAGAGACTCCGCCTTGGACAGAGGGAAAAAGCAGTTGTCGACCTCGGCGCACAGCGTGTCGTTGGTGTCAAGCCAGTCGACCAAGGGGACCTCCCACAGGCCTGGGTAGGAAGCGGTTGGGCAGGGAAGAATCACGCACTCCTGGGTCGACCTGTAGTCGAGGGTGTATGGCCAGAGCGGGGGGTCCATCTGGGGTGTTGGCATGGAGTTGTCGTACAGGAAACCGTTGCTCTGCAACATGTCGAACTGGCGGTTGCCACCGCCCTGCAGGTAGGGGGCGCGCATGCCGACGAAGTCCTCGTTCCTGACTTTGCCGAGGAAGTTTGTGATAATGCGTTGGTCAGCGATCTCACGCGCCCACAGTTCCGTGCTGGCCTCCTTCCAATAATCGCTCGTTAGCGATTTGCTGCAACACGACAGACGATCGTTATGCTGTTGTCGTGACAAATTACAAAGATGCGCCGAGACGTGAAAGTGTTGCTGGAGGCTATTTGTAAAGTTGATTGCATACACGAACTAATAGACGAGAGCTTTCTTCGCGCAAACGACGCATTGCAGGACCACTTTGGTCTTCATAACGTGATCGTAGCGATTGAGTTACCTGATAGACAGCGCGGCGATCTCGTTTCCGCCGAAGTACAGATCCTGGACGGCTGCATAATCAGTGAACTGATGCTCAATGAAGAAGGTGGCTGTAATTGGGCATCCGTTGGGGTTTGTCCTGGCCTCTCTCCTCCTGTTCGGTCCGATACGCTTCAGGATCTGCGTCGAAACCATTTTAATAGTTAGAAACGCGGCGAAACGAAACACGTCGACGTGGTCGACGATGAATTCACTCCAGATAAGAGCCCTTCGCAAGCGCCCTGTTCGCCGTTCGCATTCAAAGGGATTCAAGCTACGCTGTGAATGAGCGTTTCTCATGAACCAAACTAGCCTAGGAAGTGCACGCTATGCATGCACTCGCTACTTTACCTGCTGCAGGAGATGGTTGTAGTCCTCCAGACGGACGGCTGACTCCCACGTAAGGGTGACAATTTGTGGGATTTCATTGGCCAACAGATCGCCGGGGATATCGGTACCTGTTGCGTATGACAAAAATATCAATAATGTGTATTTGAAATGGGTTTCGGGTCTCAACATCACTCTGTAATTCAATAGGACCTCCGCTGCCGTTTCAGCAATAAACACCACTAATCGACCCCATACGCTTTTTCTCCTGCATAATAATTACGACAACCAAGACAGCAACCATGTACAAAAAGACGGGTGAACGGACAAACGGTGAAGTGCTGGCTACTCGTACGACTCGGTAGTGCTATGCAGTCAATAGAGGCAGTTTCCTACCAGAGCATCGGCAGTTGGGAAGTCTGCAGGTAGATGGGTTGCACGGACCAGCACAGTTAACCTCATCTGAGCCGTCGCTGCAATGGGTGACACCGTCGCACTTGGCCACCGCGGAAATGCACTCGGGCGCGTTGAGACACTACATAGCCAGTGGTGAAAGATTACAATATTTAGTACCGAGCCTGCGAGCATGTGAGTCGCTCCTATCCGCAACCTAAAACCGCCACACCGTGTCTGCACGTATCTAGCCTACAGTACGTCTGTTATTCACAAACGAAAAATCTACAAACGAAGAATTTTCCTTAAAGAATTTTACGTCGAGTGGCGCGATCGTCGCGATTTCGAACGAAGTAGAATCGAGGGTGATAACTGAACTGCAACGTTTCTTACCTGGAACTGACAGCGGCTGTAGGCAGGATCAAAGGTGCCGGCGAGAGAGTCGATCACCTCCGGAGGAGGACGAATGTGTCCACACACGTCGTTGATAGCATCACCAGCATCCTCGCACTGGCCCTCGTGCTTATTCACCTGCGACCACACGGTGTTGCCCGGGCAGAACTGGGGAAGGAGAGAGAGAGAGCGAGAGATTAATTTTACACACTGCACAGATCAAGCATACATTGAGCATCGAGCATTTTGCAAGTATATATTTGTTTTAAACATTACTGCGCAGTCCGTAGCGTTCGCGAGGGGAACCTGTTTTCATGTTATTACTCGGCGGGAAATTCTCGCGACAGAGCGGTTTATAAACGATGATGACTCGTGGTGACGTCACGAGTTGAGGGACACGACACAAAACTTGTTGCGCTCGATTTACGAAGAAACCATAATGACGCCGAACACGAATGTACTATTAGTTCGACGACCCATTAATGCAATATGAGAAAAACATACGGTAATCTTCGGCCATCCGTGATCACAAATGTAGAAGACTTGGCAGTTGCCAGCATCAGCAACGTAGGTGGCGTTTCCAATAGCTGGGTTGCATCCATCCTCAGCTTCCAACGGAACTCCCAGCCTCTTCTCCACCGGGCCGGCAACGGCTACAATGCAGTCACGCGTTGTTATCATTACACCGTGATGCGAATGTATATAAACAAAAATAGATCACGCCAGATTACCCATACACGTTTCCGATGTAAACGATAGACTCACAAGTATAACCAGTTACTATTTTTGTGAATGAATCAAGTCGAGATAATGATCTGCATACTAAGACTCGATACCTTAAACCAACAAGCCTCACATCCTCTATCAATGAATGCGTGGTAAAATACGGAGACATCTCTAGATCGCGAAAGTCTTGCGCTACTTTAGCGCGCATTTTCGCAATCCAAGTGAAAATGTATCAATGGTGATACTTACCCAAGCCAACCAGAGCTAGTACTGCTAAAATCCTCATGTTGTCTGTCTGTGAACACCAAGTTGCGAATGATGCTGGATTCGTCGCGACACATGCTTTTATATGCAGTGCATGACCCACTGAGACAGTTATCGTTTTCAATACGCTCCGGGGCATATGCCGCCAAATTGAATGGAAGGGGTCTACTATGTGGACGGTGTGTAGCGTGTGTACACACTATTACCCTAGGTACTTCGCGAGACCGTACCTGATCGCCAGGGTATTAAAGACGCGCTAAGCCTCGCTGTCTCTGACACGGCTATAGAACTGTGACCACTTCGTTGTCCGCGTTTCCTGCGGGTTGCCAGTAGTGTAACACTGCGTTGTTCTCTGCGTGAATTTGTTTGCAAAAACGCACTTTAGTTCATAAAGGGCCATTATGGTGCTGTCAAAACAAATCAAGACACCGACGTTCTGCAACAAACAATACTGACAAGCAATTAGTTTAGAACATAAGGAAAAATTCGCTGAAAATAAAATGGTTAAAATGTGCTATATTTCATTAAAATGTTCCTTTACATTCAGCGAAAAATGCGAGGGGTGGTTAGAGGTAAAAAATGCAAATAAAACAAACGATGCATTTTGATCTGTTTTGGAGACGATTGTATAGACTGTAAATTACAAGGCTCCAATATATATTTTAACGCGATTTTAATTATGACTGACATTCGAATTCCGGTGGTGTTTTCTCAATTTGGAAATGCTGAAGTTTAGCATGCAACGTATATTTAATGGGGTACCCGGAGCGTAATTTTACCTCATATTGCCCCTACGGGTTGTCGGCGCCTGCTCGGATTCGCAGACAATGTACGCGCAAGCTGATGTGATAAGGTACATATAATTCCCTTTTGTAAGGGAGTTTCTTCCGTTTGTGCTATTCCAAGTAGGCATACAACTTACTCGTACAATAATGTTAACGATACAAGCATGCGAGAAATCTCATAGCGCTTGTCACGTAATATATACGTGTTGGGCTAACGTAACATATATTCTGTGGGCTACGCGATTAATACATGTGGTCAGTTTTACGCACACAGCACCGGAATACATTCTTAGTTTTCCTTATTGTTGTTATATAGTGACAGCGTATTTTACTGTTATGCATTGTTCCTTGTTTGTCAGCAAACCTAGTTGTGTTAGGCTGAACTGGAGAATGGAGGGGGTGGGGGCGTGAACGGGGGTTGCGGATACGGGACGACGGTTTACTATATACCAGCTGTTGGTTTTAGTGTGTTAAACTGATGGTGTTCATAAATCTCTCGTGATGTTTATTTGCTTCAGAACAATACTATATGATAGAAAGGTATCGTAGCGTGCACGTTTACGGTTTGCCAAACACTGGGAATAGCACCATTGATAAAACTAGCTAAAATATCATAATAATTAATCGCAATACATGATAACTGTGTCACGTACTATGATGACGGCTACATGTCAACAACTGTGCATCTTTTAATTATACGCTTATCTCGTCGTTGAAATACGCAATAAATAGTTTAATTGTTGCTAGTTATAATATGCAATAGCTGAAAATAGCGGATCTTCATTAGTATGTTAAACAGGTCACGATTTGTCATGGTGTTCAGCTGTATTGCTGTAACTTATCACGGTATCAGTAGAGGTATATGCGTTCCAAGTATAGTTTTACATTGGCATTCGACAATAGCGAATCTTAGTCGAGTTGGGTTAAAAAAAATCATTGATAGGAGGGGGATTGCATACTTTTAGCGACCCGGTGCATTTTAGTGAGGACCTGTGGATGAAATTAAGAGTTATACTACAATTAGTGTCAAACTCTGATTCAATAGTGTGGTGCCCCGTCATCAGTGAAACGATTAAAAAAAATCTAACAAAAGCATAGGCATCACTTAAAAATCACGTCATCGATCAAAGATCAAATGAGTAGAATTTTTGACATGACAAACAGATAAAGATTTTTTGTCAGGAGGCTGAAATTTGAGCCATTTGCAGTATGTTACTAGTCGCTCGTAGTCATTGACCAGTGAGGTCGGTGTTACCGATATTTTGGCCAGGAGATCATTTCGTACGAGGTCACCAGACGATAATTCTGAAGGAGCTAACGCGGCACAATGTGTATAATCCTTCAGCTCGTACGTAATAGAACGCACAAAACGTGTAGACGGATAAGATAATGAACGGAAAGTCAAAGTTTCACGAATTACCGTTCGCTAAGTGAATTTGCACCAGCTTATGCTTAGCCTAGATTCGGGTATCATTTGCGTGCCGGTTATCAAGGCGACCGGTATATTTTTGAACGCGAAACGCGTGACTGCGTCTCCTCATAGAGTGGGTTCAATTTCGGCGGCTCTCCAGTAGAACTATCATCGTACACAATCGTGCCCACTGATTATGGCCTACGTGCGCCCGTTCCCCGAAGCAGACACGGCGTATATATGTTCACGGTTCGATCCATTTCATAGCAAGTCGTGCAGTAAATCGTTGCGCAGGAAAGCGTGATCATCCCAGGACGGGTGACGTCGCGCCTGTGCAACGACGACAATTTTCAGGTAATTTTCAGGAAGAGAAAATTTAAATTGAATTAAGGTCGCGCGTGCGTGCACGATACGCCTCCGCAGGTAAACGTAAAGCACGTGAAAGAACTACAGCGACTGAATTTCTAGTATATCAGAAAAAATAGAATTGATAGCTAGCGGCTCGATGTACCTGCTTGTTTGTTCGTCTTCTTAGCGTGAACTTCTATCATTTCTTAACAATACTGTGGTTTTTCGCAGCTGAGAAGTTTGCGTCAGGATGGACGCCGGTTACTTTATGAGACGGAAATTTCTAAGAAAACACTTCAAAAACAAGAACAGACGATTCATTGACAAAGTACCATGTGTAACCAATGATTTGGTTGTACATGTGTTTGCAAACATTTGGTAAAATTATTAGATTGATCACACGCAAAAATAATACAGCATCGGACGCCACGATGTAAAGCTCATTCGATGTCGATAAGAGAGAGCATTATTCGTTTGGAGATATCCCGACAAAAGCAAACGTCACCAAAATGATTACTAACTCTATATTATTATATTATATTATATTATATTATATTATATTATATTATATTATATTATAGTATATTTCCCTTCTTTCCCCTTCTT